GGGGAATAGGTTTTATAAATATTATATGATTTATGAAGAATTTAGGCCAATTTATACAAAGAAAATATTTCTAAACTTAAGTACTTTTGAACCCTCACCTCACATCTCCGTACTGTTTTTTAGATTTTAAAGAAGAGGCCTTTTGATAACCGTCTGAAAAATATCAACCTGGAAAATTTGTCAGAAGATAATGTAAGAAACTAAGGTAAGCAAAAATTTATCCCAGCCAAAGTATTTATTTGAAAAATATTTGATGGATAAATATACTTTTATATAAGTGTATCCTGACCACTTGAATTTTAAATCTTATTCATAATTACACTGACAATAATAGCATTTACTGTCTAAGTGCTTGATGAATGTTTAATTTAATTCTCATAATACCATACACTTTGGTCCCATTACTTATTAACCCCATTTTGCTGACTAGAAAACTGAGGCAAGGAGAGACAATATCTTTGTCCACGATCACACTATTTATAAATGGTACAGCCGAAATGTGAACACGGGCAGTTTAGCTCTGAAGTCTATGTACTTAACCAATGTACCCGGCTACCCATTACCACCCTATGTATAATAGCAACTTGCATATCAGTAGGTATATATCCCTAATTTTAACCAGTATACAATGTACTGCCTCTCACATCATCATACTTAAATTTCACTTTTCAATCTCATCAGCAGACACAAGCAGAAGGCAGTGGAGAAAGTGCAGTGCAGGAAAAGGAATCCAAACCACCAGCTCACCAGCCATAGCACAAGCTCTTGGGCTTGCTGGAGGATTTGGCTCCTCCGGGTCACTCCTGGCTTGTGTGCTGTGCTCTTCTCCCTTCCTTCTCAGGAAGTGATGTGGTTGATGAAACAGCCACTAGAGCAGGGAGGGACAGCCTGGGTCCCAGTCTCAGAGCAGCCTGGGACTGGCAGAGTGCCATGGACAGGCTGGGCACCACATACCGGCTCCCTTAATCCTCTCAACCGCATGAGTGAGCATGGCACCTGGTTTATAGGCGAGCGAAGTGAGATTTAGAGTTAAGGATAATTCCATCAAGGCCACAAAAGATAGGATGTTGCCCAGGTCTGCCTGACTGCAAAATCCTCAGCTTTACTTGGCCATGTTGCCTCTGAAGTCACTTCAATCCTCTAAATCTGACTCCTCAAATATAAAACAAGGTAATGGTGCTAAATTAGTTCTCTCTGTGCCATGGAGCCCTAAGGATTGTTTGAAGGTGTCTCAGAAGTCATTTGGGGGAGAAAGTCCAAGGAGAGAGGGCCAAGACAGCCACATATACACATAGGTGCGTGCGTGTGCACACACACACACACACACACACACAGACACACACACGCACATGCACTCACACTCACACAGCAGTGCAACATCACTTTGGCCTTATAATTCTGGTTTTCCACATGACAGTTGAAGGGGAGATTCTGCTGCTAAAAGAGTATAGGATCATTTTTGCCAGTTAATTGTTAAGGACCCTCATTTTAATACTTAGGAGAGGATCAGCTTTGCAAAGGTACAATAACTGCAATAAATCAAGCCAGTCAGAGGAGACTTCTGATTCACCTGGCTGGCTCAGTCCAGAAAACGTCAGATGCCTTTGAAAGAAAAGGCTGTACCCAAATTTCTGCTGATCTAGACACAATCTGAGAAAGTATTTCAATTGTGTGTGTTTCAGTGGTCTTCATACCCATGTCAGTTAGTGAATAACATGGTCTGGGTTTTCTTCTTTCATTCTCACCAGTTCTGGAGGCTTTCAATTGGTCAGGAATAAGAGGGATGCAGCAATTGTAGCTTGTTTAATTTGAATGCATTGCTTTTATCTCTCTTTACTTATCTTGCTTCATGCTTTTTTTTTTTTTTTTTTTTTAACCCTGTCCTCCTTCAATCTTGTCTCTATCCTCTGGTCCCAAACCAGGTGATAGACAGGAAGAGAGTGGTCTTTGTTGGTAAGAAATGAGTGAATTCATCTACTCCTTTCCCTCACTTGTAATCCTACACAGAGCAAACACTGGTGCTTAGCTTTTAGCTCTCAGGCTGGCATCTTGATGAATGCACGGAAAGCCAATTTTTCCTTTCCCTCATCCCTTATAGCTCATATACCTTTCACTAAAAGCTGCATATGTAGCGAAGAATAAAGCCGAGGAAAGGCAAGCATTAATTATGATGATGGTGATCACATCTTAAAAAAAAAAAATACACACATATTGAGGTATACTTTACATACCTTAACATTCATGCATTTAAGCATACAACTTAGTGATTTTTAGTAAATACACAGTTGCATAATCATGACCATAATTCCATTTTGGAACATTTTCATCCCCAAAAAAATCCCTCAGGCTCATTTGCAGTCACTCCCTGTTCCCACCCCCAGCCTTAGACAGCCACTAATCTGTTTCTGACAGATTTGCTTTCCCTGAGTGCCTCATATAAATGGAACCATATAATATGTGGTATTTTGCGTCTGGCTTCTTTCATTTAGCATACTTTTCTTTATGAGGTTCATCCATATATTAGCATGTCTCAGTGCTTCGTTCCTTTTTACACACCACTTTTTTGAACAGCAGCATTATGTAGAGGAAAGATTGTGGATTTCAGAAGCATGCCAATGTAGGGCTGGAGCGAAGGTGTGCCACTTCTTAGGCATGTGACCATTAGGCAAGTTCCGTAACCTCTCTGAGACCCATTTGTAGGATAAAGGTAATAATCGCTCCTTCAAAGCACTATTCCATGAGTTAGCTGGGGTGTGCTGGCAAATAATGAGCTCTCAAAAAGTCCAGACTTCCTCTCTACAATTACCCCAAACCCTTGCTTTCCTTATCCAACCTGCTTCATAAAACGAATATAAACGAATCCTATAGCCTCCCTCTAGCCTTCCAATCACATTTGAAATGAGAGCCCACATAACTAGCAGCATGAGGAATGGAATTCGCTCAGGGAATTGCATCCTTCATTAAAGGAGCCCAGATGGTGAGGAGCTACAGGGATTTCCTTCAATTAGATTGCTGTCATTTTTTAAAAGAAGGTTAAACTGTATTTAATTATTATTTTAAGGAGGAAAACATTTCACATTTTTTAGTATATCTTATAGAGAAGGCCTGACCTTGGCAAGGCTCTAAGACAACATATTTTCCCACTAATTCTTATAAAACTGCCCCTGAAACATCAACCCTCAGATAATATGTAAGCAAGGAGCAAAGGGCTACAAACCTGAGTAAATAAAATCAATCTCAAATCCTCAAAACTTAACTTTTAGCCGTTAGTTTCAGGATTTTCCTTTTCTAAACCTTAGAATAACCTGAATTTCACATATAACAAAATAAACTAAATGGAACCAGTCCACCTTCTCAGAGGAGAACATGTTTATCAATTTGAGTTCCAACATAAAGGAATCCTGATATAACTCCATGGTACACTCTTGGTCAAAAAGTTTACAAAGATGCTACTCCTTAGCCCTGAGTATAAAATGATCTGTTCTAAACCTGTTTTTACTTCTGACTCATTATTTCTCTATCATTTTTAATCCACCACTATTCCCCTTGGTGTTTCTGATGGTTTCTCCCTCCATTCTTATCTGGTATGTATCACAGTTGCATTTCTTTCCCCAATTTCTGAAACAATTTCCTCCCACCTTCTCGATTCACTCCCAGCTTCACTTCCTGCTAAGGACAGTATAACAGTTAAAACAGAAAAAGGAGAAGGCTTCTCTATACTTCTACTGAATAAAATAGGTTTGTAACATTTTATTTCTCTCAATTCAAGGAGATTGGTATACTCTATTATTCACATAATAGATTTTCTATCTATTTTCATCATAGAAAATGCTTCTTCTCAAATATATCAAATATAAACTAGTAATTGAGAGAGGCAGCATATGGCTTTCTAATCTTTATATCCCAATAATAGTCACTATGCACAATATTGGCATTAAAAGTGGCAAAGAATGATTTCTTCCAAACAGGTAAATTAGATATAATTCCTATAAGTGATCATTCTGCAAAATTATCAAGTGATCTAACTTGCATGTGTATTCTGACATAGTCACATCCACACAAATAAACAGGTGAAAGGCTATATCCAAACTGAACCAAACAATATATTTGTAAAAAAAATTCCTGTTTCCTTCCTACATGTACTTATGTGGAACAGGAGCTGTTAATAAACTCTATGACTATTTGCCCCATATTGAGAGAACAGGAAGAAGTGGATAGAGTCCCAAAAGAGTTTTTACTCACTATATTATCATCTAAAATAAGCATGGGAATCCATAAATGTGATACAGATACATAAAAATAATTGGGAGGGGGCATGAGCAACTTAGGTTTGGTTAGATTTGTGAGTTTTCCCAATCTTTAAAAAGTTTTCTTATGTTAAAACTTCCCTTTCAGTATGACAACCATAATTAATAACATTGTATTGCATATTTGAAAGTTATTAAGAGAGTAAATCTTAAACGTTCTTATCACAAGAAAAAAAATTAACTTTGTATGGTGACAGTGTTAAAGTCGACTTATTGTAGTAATGATTTCACAATGTATACTAATATCAAATCATTACATAATATAATTCTATATGTCAATTATAATGCCACCATAGGCAAAACCAATTACCTTTCCTTTTGTATACTACAGTGAAGAGAGTCAATTAGATCTAAGACTTTATTTTAGGGATCTTATTTTAAACGGCATCATAGGAATTTATGTCATGGTATAAATAGTTTAGTGAATCTGGGACTTAGCAAAGATTTCATCTATTGCACAGGCCTTTTTGCGCAGATGTTTAGCAACAGATGACAAATAATCTTGAAGCATAATGATTATACTTCCTTTGCTTATGATTTGGCCTATAGTTTGTTTAGAGAATCCCGATCTCTGGGGGATTGGCGAAAACCCCAAATTTGCAGAGTTCATCTCTGAGTCCCTGGCCACCGTAAATATGTCAATGTGCATGCATCCTCTACATGAATTACCACAGAATGCCAAGAGGCTCCTACCCTGAGATGGCAGCAAGTTTTTGGTGCGCCTGTCGGGCCATCTCACAGCCTTTGGTTCTTGTCTTGTGCATTTCCGCCCGGAGTGAGGGGCAGCTGACCGACACGTCCCCGATGGAAATGACCAGCTCTCGGTACAGGGCCACTTGCGTGTTGAACTCTTGGACAAGCTGGAAAAGAAGTGAGTTTCTTTCAAGAAACACTTAACCGAAAATGTCCTATTTTGGGTGTACATAAACAGGGGTTTCACTGACCCTTGAGCCCCTTCCCCCCCCCCCCCCCCCCCCCCCCCACACACACACACGGCCCAATCTCTGTTTTAAAAGCCCACAAATTATTTAAAGATGAAAACACAAAGATGGTACATTCTCTTTCTCCTGGGCAAGTGTTTATTTTTCATGCGGGAGTCCGGTTGTGGAGGCTCTATTTCCAGACTCCTGGCCCCCACCCATTCAGTCCCAGCTTCTGAACGTAGCCTCTCTGAGCACTCCCATTGCCACTCCCAGGCTGTTAGCAATGCTGGGAACTCTCCTCCAGAATGCTCCGTGGATTGCAGCAAGGAGATGAATTTGAAGTTGACAAAGGCCAAAGGGAGGTTATAATAGGCAAACCATTCGCCTCCTGCGGGACCCCTGAGCTGCTCAGGCTCCAGAGCCTGATGGGAAGATGGGGCACAGCCTTCGAGGGGAGATGGGAACCTTGGTCCCCTCCAGGCCCTTCCGCAAGGCCCGTGCTCTCACTCGGGTTGGGTTTGCTGGCTTCTCCCCACCAAGCGGCACCTCCACCGCCCCGTCCTTCCCCTCCCTGGTGAGCAAGCCCCTTAACAGCGTCTTCCACTCCCACCCCTCTCGGAGGGGCAGAGGCATGCCCCTGGCACTTCTTGGCGGGGCCATCACCACCTGGGTGTCACCCCGAATCTAGGGGACTTACAGATTTAAAAATAGTGCCTGTGCACGTGATCGGCATGGAGGCCCGAGGGTGGGGGAGTGGCTGGTACTCAAGCAAACGATTACCATACACATACACGATTTCTTCTCAAAAAAAAAAAAAAAAAAAAAAAAAAAAAAAAAAAAAAGCGCAGCCCTTTCCACCTACCATCTTGCAGTCGTCCAGGGTTCGGTGGGTTTTGCTGGCGCTCTCGGAGCCGCTGCCCCTGCGCTCCCACTCCCCGCCGGGCAGCGGGGGCTTGCTGATCTGGAAGATCGAGGAGCGGGTGGCGGACCGGCCGGGGCGCTTCTTGCGCCCATTCGGTGCAGAACTCATGCATACACATCCACCGAGCCCAGCCCTGGTGCAGTGCGCCCCGCGCGGGCGGCCCGGTCCTCGCCCTGCGCCCGCCGAGCAGCCGGGGCGGGAGCGGAGGGCGCTCACAGGGCTGGGGCTGCGGGCTGCGCGGGTGGGTAACCTTCAGCCTGAAGGAGAGCCGGGGGAGCGCCGGCTGCGCCCTGCAGCATCGCTTCCACCAGCGGCGAGCGAGGGAGAGGCTCCTCCGTCAAGTTCGGCTCAGCAGCAGCATCGCCGGCCCCGTCCCGGCCGCTGGGCGCTGGCGCAGGCTCGCACCGCCTTCCCCTCCTCGGCATAGACTGCAGGGCTGGGCGGGAAGGAACGCGCCTCCTCCGGGCGGTTCTGAGTTTCCATTCAGATGCCGGAGCAGCAGCTTTTCAAAGCTTGTGCTGCAAGGTGGGGAGGTTGGAGGGGGGGGGGTGGGGAGGAGGGAGGGAGCGAAGGGGGGTGTCACAGCTCTGGCTTCAGTGTCTTCCTTCCCGCAGAGAAGCTGGGTTCCTCTTTCCCCTCCTTCCCCCCTGTTGCTAGGCCTGGAAGGACTGGCAGTCCCCGAAGCAGGAGATTGGCTCCAATCGGCCGGCCTGATCCCCTGTCTCCACCAGCTCCTCTGGATGAGGATCCCAGAGGAATCCGTGGCGGGACTGGCTGGTGGACGCAGGGAATGGGCCCGCTGACGTCCCTGTGGGTCCCGCACGTTGATAGGGCCGGGATGCTAATGTGATCCGTCCACACAGCCCACTTCCCCCTCCACAGGGTAGGCACTTACCAATCAAATCCCCGGGAACATCAATTGCGATATTACTTCATCGGCTCTATTATTAGAAACGAAACGTGTCATCAGAGTGGAGCACGTTGTCACATGCTGGGACCTAAACAGGGATTTCAAATCAACTGGTGTGGGCTGGAGGCCTTCCCCATCTGAGGCTGCCTTGGGGCCAAAGATTGCCAAAGCCCAAACCTATTAGAGAGGGAGGGGGGTTTTTACCTCCAAAGGAAGATGTCTGGACAACCCAAGAGGAAAGCGTTGTTTCTCTGAGTTCTAGTGAGGTGGAGTTTTTGCTTTTCCTCCGAGGAGGGGGTCAGAAGCCAGCAGGGCAGAATGCACTGTGGCCATCCGTCACATGGTCCGCATTCCATCCCCTTTCAATTATTATAGTAAAATTTGGTTTTGCATTCCAGAGTCTCCAGATCCCCAGCTCTGAGAGTTTGCCAATAGAAACTTGAGCAAACAGGCCTCGCTGGCCAATCGGGAGGACCCTCTTCTACTTTATGGGACATCAGTGACCCAGGGGCATATGGAGTTGGCCAAAAAAAGTGGAGAGGCTGAAACCGGTTTGGCTCAGTGAATAGAGAGTTGGCCTGCGGACTGAAAGGTCACAGGTTCGATTCCGGTCAAGGGCATGTACCTTGGTTGCGGGCACATCTCCAGTAGGGGGTGTGCAGGAGGCAGCTGATCTATGTTTCTCTCTCATCGATGTTTCTTACTCTATCCCTCTCTCTTCTTCTCTGTGAAAAATCAATAAAGTATTTTTTTTTTTTTAAAAAGTGGAGAGGATGCCTGTGTGAGAGAGGGTGGGAGTGAGTTTCTGGACCATTTAAGTTCATCCTTACCACACGTGCAGCCTAAGGTTCTTCAGGAAGAAGAGGGGACGTGGGCATTCAGTGCCAGTGTTCTGAGAATGCTGATTACTGTGAATGGTTTATTGGGAGGGGACAGATAAAGAGGTCTGCCACAGGGGAACTAATTGTGTGTAGAAAAGCCTAATGAAGAACTAGCTAATCAGGGCTCCTGGTCAGTCTCATCTCATAGGGTGTTGGGAGCCATCAGAGTTGAGACCAGCAACTCCGTCTTAAGGAAATAGAATTATAATAAGTTCCTTCTAGCAGAAGTTATGCGGTGCCCTGAGGGTTTGGCCAGAAGATAAGATTAACCTGCCACTTAGCATCTTTGCAACTTCCCCTTCCTGATCCTCCCCCATAGCTAGCCCAGCCTTGGAATGTTACACCCTGGCAGTTAGCCAATCCTGTGTTGCCAGATACCTTACCACCTTGTCACTCAGTGCCTAAACCAATTATACACTGCCAAAGACCCCTCTGCATAGGCAACCCTGCCCCCCTTTGTTTCTGCTGTATATATACAGCCATTTCAAAAAATAAAGTTCAAGGCTTAATCAGAACTTTGTCTTGCCTCCATTTCTTCACATCTCCTGTCCTCTATCATTCCCTTCTAGGTGCCTCCTCGCCCCCACGTTGATCTCCCACTGGTCAGGACAATAGGGCAGTGGTTCTCACCCTTTCTAATGCCATGACCCTTTAATACAGTTCCTCGTGTTGTGGTGACCCCAACCATAAAATTATTTTTGTTGCTACTTCATAACTGTAATTTTGCTACTGGTAATGAATCATAATGTAAATATCTGTGTTTTCTGATGGTCTTAGGTTCTACAGTTGGGACTCACATGTTGAGAAGTGCTAGCAGGGTCACCTGAGACCATCGGAAAACACAAGATATTTACATTACGATTCAAAACATAGCAAAATTACAGTTATGAAGTAGCAACAAAAATAATTTTATGGTTGGGGGTCACCACAACATGAGGAACTGTATTAAAGGGCTGCGGCATTAGAAAGGTTGAGAACCACTGTCATAGGGGGATATGGAGAGTACACAGATAGGGAGAGCCAGATGTAGCAAGGAAGCTAGCACACGAAGGAGGTGCTAGAATTTGTGTGTGTGGTGTTTTGTTTGTTTTTTACAAGCCTCGTAAACATAACGGGGGTGGCGTGGTATAATAAGAAAAAATACTTGGTCTTTGTCCCCAGTTCTTGACACAGAGCTCCTAAAACCTTTGGACGTTCATGAGTGACCAGGGTGGTAAGCCTCTGGTCGCCAGAAAGACCAAGCCTTGTTTTGAGGTCTAGAACTTTCAGCTCAACCCTCAAACTTCTGGGAAGGATGGAAAGGCTAGAGATTGATTTAATCATGAAAAGCCATGATGAAATATTCATAAAACCTAATTGATGGGGTGTGAGGAGCTTCTGGGTTGAACACATGGAGTTGCTGGGTGCTTGCCCAGACAGGGCATGGAAACTTTGTCTCCCTTCCCATACCTTGCCCTAGGCATCTCTTCCATTTGGGTTTTTCCTGAGTTGTATTCTTTATAAAAATAGGCAAAGAAAGCACTTTCCCAAGTTCTATGAGTCATTCTAGCAAATTATCAATTATGAGGAGGGTATGTGGGAATCCCTGAATTTGCAGCCAAGTTTGATACACGAGTGGGTAACCTGCGGACTTGATACTTGCAATTGGTCTGTGAAGTAAAGACATTCTTGTGGGACTGAACCCTTAAACTGTGGAGCCTGGAGAGTTGGTGTTTGAATTGAATTGAATTGTAGGGCACCTAGTCAGTTTTGGAAAATTGTAAGTAGTGTTGGAAAAGATGCCACATGTTTGCTTGGGAGGGAAAAAACCTAATAGGTAGAACTCTGACGGGTTCTCAGATGTTTTTGTACATTACTTCACAAAAGATCCAGTCAATGTTCCCTAACACAGAGTGGGGAGGAATGGTATCATCCCCTACCCCAGACCTTGGTGTGCTGCTGCCTCCCAGCTGTTTAGATGGACCAGGATGAAGGGCTCTTCAGCTGGCCGAATCTCCCCAAATATGGGAAGATAAAATAGGTTAACTCTTAGTCAACTCTCCATTCCTCTTTTCCTTGGTCTCAATTTTGTCTCTACTTCCTGTGTGTATAGAGGAGAGGTTGAGGAACACATTAGGTGATTTGGTGGGATTTTCTGGGGCTTACTAAGTGGTTGAGACGCTAAGGAGGAAGGTATAGGGGGGCTAACAAGCTTTAAGGAAGAAGGGATAATAATCATTTGTAAATTATTTAAGTCCTGTGACATAAACCCTTTTTGTTACTACTAACTGCCCCCCCCACACACACACACACACACAAAGTAAAGCCCAGTCTGCTCAACCCAAGGTTGGTGACACTTCAGTTAGTTAAAGGAAAAGGTTGTATTTTTCTGGGTGTAGACATAGGGTAGAGAAAACAGAACACTGGAGGTCAGGCTTCTAGACCTCTTGTGCCATCACTCTGTTATTTCATCCCCTTTCCTGCAGGGAAATAGTGACTGTCACCAGATTTGAGAATCTCTAAGCTACCCAATAGTAGGTTTCTACTCCAGCTACAACCATCTGGTTTCTACACCGCTCCCCCCCCCCCCCCCCCCCCGCCCCTTCTGCCTAGAGACTGTTTCTTTCTTACAGGAGGTGGAGGGAGGAGATAAATGGGTCAAACAGGATGTCATATCTGAAGGACTACAGATTTGGAAACCTGCAGGGGATTAAGCAGAAACTGTCAATTGTAGGTGCCCACCTTGCCTTCCCCAATACACAGCCCAAGCCATTTTCTTGAGAAGATAGAAAAATAGCATCCATCCCAGAGCTGTCTCTCTCAGGGACAAATGCTGTAATCAGAATAGCAGCAGGCAAGCTTGGTTCCCTCACCTTCCCCCACATTCAAAACAGCATGAATTTACATTCCTAGTGCTGTCTGACTGCCAAATAGAAGGGTAAATGCAGTTAATTCCAACAAGGGCGTGTTTTCTGGTTACTCAGACCCAATTTTGGCACAACCCCACAGGGGTCCTCTATAGACCTATGGCTTTGGCCCGAGTCACCTCCTAGATTCACTCCAATATAAGTTCCACCTGACGGTTCATGCTTTCTCTACGCCAATTTTAGAGACTTCATTTTGATTTGGAATTTTACCAAAATGAATACTAGAGTAGAGTGAATGTTAGCAAGTTGGTAGGTTTCTTCAACTTGGTTTTGTAAGAAATCACAGTAGGACTAGAGATGCACATCTCTGACTAGACTGGCCTCTCGTAAAAGGAGCTACTGCCCTGTTTCCCCGAAAATAAGACAGTGTCTTATATTAATTTTTGCTCCCAAAGATGCGCTAGGTCTTATTTTCGGAGGATGTCTTATTTTTCCATGAAGAAGAATACGTTACACATTTATTGTTAAATGAAAATAAAGGAAATTTATTACTTGTATACGGTATGGTAGTTGTCAACACAAACCCGACAAACTGTGAATCCTACAGTATCAAGAATTTACTCATTTATTCAATGACAATCATGTCATCATCTTCTCTGGAACATCATCATAACAATCCAATTCCTGAATTTCCTGGTGAATTTCTTGTGACTCCATTTCTTTCAGAATCAGTGGACCAAATCTCTCATGTTTAGCCTAAGGGGGACCTTATTTTGGGGGGATGCCTTATATTTCACTCAGAAGGAAACCAGTAAGTAGGTCTTATTTTCGGAGGATGTCTTATTTTTGGGGAAACACGGTAGGAGGCAGTTTTCATCTGGGAGTAAAGTTCACAGAAGGGCAAAGATGAAAAAGGACCTGAACCTGTGCAAGTCTATGACAGCAGCAAAGAAAAACACATTAAGATGCTGAGTTCTGAGCCATTGGGGAGAGCTGAAGGGAATAATCAAGTTATTTACTTTTAGTGTCCAAAGAGATTAAGTTATTATGAAAAATTTAGTGAATAAACTAGTAAATGGTTTATTTCCACTAAAAACAAGAGGAAGTACAATTTATTGGGAATACTTACTTATTAATTTTAGAGATATTTTGAGTGTTTTTATTAGGTGCAGTTCTTGGTT